CTACAAATGACTCCAGTTTATCTTTCTTAATGGCAGAGTAGTACTCTATTCTGGGCAAATACCAAATTTTCTTTATTTTTCATCTGTTGATGGATATATAGGTTCCTTCCAAGATTTAGCTATTATGAATTGTGTTGCTATAAACACGGGTGTGCACATATCACTGTAATATAATGTCTTTAACTCTTTCAAAAAAATACAGAGAAGGGAGATCCCTGGGTCAAATGGGATTCCTAGTTTCAGTTTTTTAGGAATCTCTATAATCGATATTAAGAGCGATCACTTCAGTGATCTCAGACTTCCGGTTTGAGAACTATTTTCACATACTTCTGCATGTTCAGATGTCCTCTATGATTTCTCTGGCATTAAATATTATTATTTCTCTTCTCTGTAGGTAAAGAACTTGCAGGTCAGAAAGCATTGCCTTAAATTTCAGCAAAAAGTACAGCGGAGACATGATATTCAAGTGTCAGTCTTTTTTTTTTTTGGTACCGGGGATCGAACTTGGGTCCTTGTGCTTGCACAGCAGGTGGCCAAACCACTGAGCTAAATCCCTGGCCCCTCTAGTGTCAGTCTTGTGACCACCCTACTGTATTGCACTGCTTGCACAAGTAAAAAGCAGAGTGTGATGCAAACTGCAGATAAACCTGCTGTTGAAACAGCTGGAACATGATGAATGAAGCAGGGTATGGGGGACTTTACACAAGAGGTAGAGAGCATTAAACGAACTTAGAAGGAAGAATATTACTGAGGAGAGAGGTAAAGAATTAGGAGTGTGTGTGTGTGTGTGTGTGTGTGTGTGTGTGTGTGTACCATTCCAGACAGAGGCAGTAACCCTGGTTGTCTTGGGGAATCATGGTATACCTATGGCACGATGAACTTGAAGGCCCACACCAGAGGTGTATTCATGAGGTGGTGAATGAGGAGGCAGGTTGAAGGAGACGGTCCCTGAGGTTGATGTGGGGAAGCTTGGATGCAAATCTTCAGCTGTAACTTTCTAGCTGTGTGACGCTGGGCAAGTCGAGAAACTCAGCTCGTTCCTTTTGTGCAATATGGGTCTGATAATAACTACTGCAACGCATTTTCAAGCAGGAAGCGTACCTATGTATCAACACCACATGGCCATCATGGTCGTTTCTATCTAGAGGTCCCCCCAAAGCCTGATGTGCTCACAGGTGGGGTTTGGGGAGGTGTTGGATCACGTGGGTGTGATTCTTATCAGCAATTGGTCCACTGATGAGTTCATAGCTAGATGTGATATTGGGAAGCGAAGCCTGCTGGGTGGGGGGAAGGGGTCACTGGTGTTTCTATCTCTCCTTCTCCTTCCCTTGATCTCTCTCTGCTTTTTGCTGCATGCCACCCCGCCTTGGAGCTGCTGACTATGGACTGAAAATCTACAAACTGGGCCAAAATAAACCTCTCCCCCTTAGTCGTAGGTGTCAGGTATTGTGTCTCAGCGCTGCAAAAATCACTAAGACAGCCATCTCCAGACTACTTTCGTTGCTCAGGAACTACTCACTCTTTAACCATGGAAGGCGCCAGCTTGTGGGGTTGTGATGCAAGGTGTGTAACAAGCTTAGGACCAATCACAAAACTTGAAACCATGGACTGGAGGGCGTGAAGAACATTCTTGATCCAGGAGATATTGGTGTTTGTGAGAGATAAGCAGACAACTGTTGGTTTGTTTGCTTTTGCTTGTTATTTGTTCTTAGAGAGCTGTGATCAGGCTGGCTTGTACGTCAGGAGTCTGGAGAAAGACTAGGTAAGGGTTGCTTAAAGTACCTAAACAAGAAGTTTCCAGAGTAAGGGAGAAGAATGGTGGGGGAGGTGGAGACAGAGCATGAGACAGCTCACGTTTATCGAACACTTGCCGTGCACCAGATACTGTTCCAAGCACTCCAGTCTTCAGCTTACTTAATGTATCATAAATATTAACTTGGGCTGGGGATTTAGCTCAGCGGTTTTGCCACCTGCTGCGCAAGCACAAGGACCCGAGTTCGATCCCTGGTACCAAAAAAACAAAAACAAAAACATAAATATTAACCTGCCCATTGACACTTGTAACACACCATCGCTGAAAACTGCCCTTATCCACATTTGAAAGTGAAGAAACTGAGACGTGGACAGGGGAAGGTGCCAAGAATGCGTGTCTTCACCCCCTTTATAGTCAACTGGATTTGTTTTTATTCTCTAGGAAGCATGCCCGTAACGAAAATTCAGCAAAGATATTCATCTCTATTGCCCTTTCATATCCAGTGTAAGTTGGTATGTTTCCTGTTAGAATGTTGTAGACTGCTTTAGCCACTACTTACAAATAATTGCAATCATGGTATGCATTTTATATGAGTATATTGTCTTCCTGACTGCAGTTTTAAACGGTGGTTTAATATTTTGTTGGGTGGGTATACCAGGACAATGCTTTCTGCTCACAAGAATATCTTAGGGCATAAATCTTTGCCAGAAACTCTTATTTTTAAAAAAGTACACTTGCTGAAGTTGAATTATTAAATGAAACAGAGTAGCCAGTTTCCTGGCTCTTCCTTCTTATTGCCAATTTGCTTTTCAAGATTGAAGGCATTTACAATAGCTTGAACAGTGTAGCAGATCAACACTCCAAATGCTGGAGCAAAGAGGTCTTTTCCTGGAGACACAAAACACAGTGGCTGGCCAGTCTCACCTCTTCCTGTGCTGGGAAGACCAGCAAGACCTTTGGGTTTGAGCAAATAAAACATGGCCCTTGCTGGTAGGACCAGATACACAGCCATCAGCTCCTCCTGGTGCAGTACTCAGGGCTCTCGGGGGAGCAAAAGAGAGCTGGTAATTAAGAAAGATTCCTTTCCTGAGCTGCAATGGCTCACAGTGACTGTCAGGGGCAGAGGATTGAGGGCTTCCTAAAGACCACCTGAAAAGGCAATTGACCAGCAAGGGGAAAAACAACCATGGCCACCCACTCACTGCCTCCCGAGTCTCCAGCCAAGGGAGCGGCTTGCAGCTATCTGCACCAGATGTCACTGGTCTCATTTTATAGTTGTGAGGAATCCTCAAGCAGCCCGAGGATGCATTCCTTCGCTCATAGGCATTCTCTGCCCCATTCCTTGACTGGCTATGTAGGGGTGACTAAGACCTGGTTCACCTGTCCTCAGGGACTTAGGTTTCTACAGCGGCCACGGTCATATTCAAGATTCTGAATGAGCCAGGCCTTCCACTTCACAATATGCGTGTGTGCAAGTTTCAGACTTTAAGATATTTATGACTTAGAGCTCAGCACATAGTAAATGCTCAGCAAGTGATTAATGGACTTGCAGCTTATGTGGCGTCATAGGGAAAAGGTGTGGGATCAAGGATTAGGAGCATTAGGGCTACAGCCTTTGCCGAACAGCTTTGTATCTGTAAACAGGCCGATCTTCTTCTCAGAATCTTGAATTGGGTGCCCTGTCAAAAATGAGGGTGAATTAATTTTCTTTGAAGATATTTTAGATCTAAGATTAGGATTTGCCAAAAGGTCTAAAAGGCCTCAGTAAAAAGAAATCCCCTTCCCCAACTGCTACTAAATGCCACACTGTGGTCTTCTTGAACAGGTAGGATAGACGGTTTAAGGGAAGGGACCAGATGAATGCCTGCTTTCTTGTGGAGGTCACTCTCTTCCCTCAAATTCCTCAGATCCGGATTTCTCCGGAGCTCAGCTGTATGAGAGGTTTGGCTGGACAGTTTCCGGGACGCTCAATCCGGGTAACTTCCAGTGGCACCCCAACCGGAGGCCGTGCGAGTCACCTTTGCTGTTTCCGGTACACGCAGGCGTCGTGAGGTGTGTTGGCTGGAAAAGTGCGACCGCAGAGCTTTCCTGCATTTGAAGCCAAGTGGGTGAAGGCTCTGTGGAGCCCCAGCCTGGAAATCAGGGGGCTGGAATCCACGCTGCGAAAAGGAAGGTGCTCTTTTTGTTGGCTACCCCCTGAAAGAGACCTTATGGGTATTTGCTTTACCTATGTGAAGTTCCTGCTTGGGGAGCACCTGGCCCAGAGTTTTCCTAAGGATGCTGCCTCCATCCTCGTTGCCACCACACAGGACAACTGCGCAGCCTCCTCCTGCAGCGAGGGTCTCCTCCAGTCTGGAGAAAAATAAAAGAACACCCCAAATAAGCTAGGTCATGTGGTCTCCCTGCAGGGAGCCCTCCGGAGTCTCCCACTGAGCTCAGTGGACACGGAGACCACGGTGGCCTGCGGGATCTTTCTCCACCTCTCTTCCTCTCACTGCAATGCTGCCTGGCATCGCCCATTCCATCCACATCAGATTTCTTGAGTTTGTCACATTCCTGTCCAGCTCAGGGGTTTGCCTAATTTTTTTTTTTCCCCTGCTCAGAGTACTCTTCTCTTTCCTCTTCCTTGTTTTCTCCTTTATTTTATTTTTTTGACTTTTATTTGTAGTATATGTTTGCAGTACTTAACAGTTACATTCATTGTAGAGAAATGGGACATGTACATAACACATTTCAATTCTTTTTTTTTTCTTCTCTCCACCAGGATTGGATTCATTTATTTATCTTATGAGCCCTTATAAAATTAATTATCATGTATGCAGATTAAAAGCCAGACGAATAGGCCAAAAAACACATAAAACAATAAGACAATTGTACTAAGTCCAGGTTCACATTTAGATACATCGTTCACAGTGGGTCACAGTAACATTCCTTCTCTCTTCTTTCTTATTATCACTGGCCATTTTAAAATTAAAGTGCTCCCTCCCCCCCAAAATTGGTTTATCTCCTTATACATTATAGTGTGCAAATATTTATGTTTTTTATTTGGTTGTGTTTTCCTCACCACCCCTACTAAACTGTGGACCGAAAACTCTAGGAGGCAGAGATAATTTCTGTTATTTACTACTGAACCCATCTCAGTGCCAAGTAGATAACAGACGCCCAGCTGCCTGCTGTGGTTCTGGTTAACTCCCTAACAACTCCCGCCTGACTCACATATGCCCAGTGTGAAAACAGAAGGGGAATGGTGATGGAGGCAACATTGAAAGAGTTGGGAGGCCGGGAAGGACCCTGGACTCACACATGTCTGAAGCCCCTGCCTAGCTGAACTCTGGTTACTGCCACCCTCTGCAGGCACCTGGAATGACAGATGCCTGGGCAATTAGCCTGTGCCCAGGGACTCAAGATGCCTATCAAGAGGTCTGCAGACTCCTGCACTGTGGATGTTACCGGTCAGTGTACACATTCTTTCCTTTATCTTCTATCAGCCACGTAGGCCCTGTCAAGCAGTGTTTACATTCTTTTCCTGGCCAATAGAACTTTCTCTTCCAATGATTTTAGTCATCTCGTAATGAACTAAGAGTTTTTGCCTGCTTTTCCTACTTCCTTTGCAACATTCGTTCAGAGCTTTCTGAACCTGTGTATTCCAATTGCAGTTCCTAAGACCTCAAATAAAGTTCTTTATTTTTATAGTTTCTGAGTGTGAACTGACGCCAATTATATCAGAGTAAAGTTCCCCTAATATGTAGCATTCTTCCTAACCTCTGATCCTTCACTTGTACTGTTCTTTCACCTGAAATGTCCTTCTTCCCATGTTTCTATAGAAAGATGAACTTATCCTTTGTATCTCACTTCCAATATCATCTTCTTGATGCTTGTCCTAATCCTTCCTGGAAAGATTAAAAACTCCAGGTCCACTGTGTGTACATGTTCCCATCGCAGGCTTTGTCCCTCTGCCTGTCTTATCTATTTCTATACTTATTTCTTCCATCAGACTGACAAGTTGGGATCAAGGAAGATGTCTGATTCATGTTACATTCCCACTTCTTAACAGCATTTGTCACAGTCAGCACTTGTCAAATGTTTGTGGAGAGAATCCATACATTAATAAATAAAGGAACTTGGTGAAAATTCAGCATTTGGAGTCTTTCTCTGAGAAATCCATGTGCAAACCCTTGCTCTTTGAACATTTCATCTTGGATATTTTCTCTGTGGTTACTGGTTTAGGGAGACTATCTCTCTGTTTTGTATTTTCTAGTTTTGGTTTAGTTTACAAAAATGTTCTGCTGTTGCCTTCTTTAAAAGCAACCTAGCAGTCAATAAAAGCAACCTAGCAGAAATTGAGATTGTGATTAGGGGACACCTCCAATTCTAAGTACTTAATTTTTTCTACCTTACCCATAGAACTGGTTAAAGATTCATTCATTCATTCATTCACAGTGTCTGTCATTCATTCATTCACAGTGTCTGTCATTCATTCATTCACAGTATCATTCATTCATTCACGCAGTATCCATCCTTCCCCTGCTGTGTCAGGCACTAAGTTGGGGCTCTGAGAACAGAGATGGAGACACAGGATAATGGTCCTCTCGTGTCAGTGAGGAAGTGAAGACAGACAAACAAATGGAGGGTTTAGTGTGATCAGGGCTGAGTGTGCAAAGTCACATAGAAGCAAAGGGAAAGGATGGCTTCCTCCATGGAGGGAGGTTAAGGAAGTCTTTGAATGGAGGGTCTTTATGCTGACTGTTCACAGATGAATAGATTTGCCCTCGTGATCAGGGAGGTGAGGAAGGGAGAGAGAAAGCTCAGGACAGTGGAGAGAACAGTGTCACAAGGGCATGAGGCCAAGAGCAGAGTAGCAGGTGTGTTTGAGAAATTACGAGCAGTTTGTGAATCACTGTCACCCAGAGTTATGCTACTGAAGGTTTGGCATGTGTGCTGGCGGCATGGACATTGCCTGGGAACATGCAGGAATAGCAGAGCCTCTAGCTCCACCTGAATTGGGAGCTAGAATCTGCAGTCAACAAGACCCACAGGTGGTTCCTGTGCACATTAAGGTTTCAGAGAATTGGGTAGAGAGGTGTTTCTCAAACTATAGCATCTATCAGAACACTCAGGCGCTTTGTCAAAAAAAAAAAAAAAAAAAGGTCACCGGGCCCGCACTAGAGTTTCTTAATCAGCCACTGAGAGCTTGCATTTTTCAAAAGTGGTCCATGTGCCATTTTGAGAATCACGGGGTGGAGGATGGTGGAGGGAGGGGTACATTCTGGCCTGTGAGCTGGGGCAGGTGCAGGGAACCCTGGAGGGCCTCGCCTGCAGCAGTGTGAACTTCACCCGGAAGTGCTGTAGACTGCTGTGGAGACTACACGGGAGAGTGACACATCCCAGACACAATATCATCAAGGGGACAGAAGTCACTGAATCCAGATGAGAGTGGTACACTCTGAACCAACTCAGTGGTGGTAGAGATGGTCTCAAGACACATCTGGGCGTCAGAATCTATAAGCATCGGAGGCCAAATGCTTAAAGGTGTGGGTGGGAATCACAAACCTCCCTTACCCGGGGACCTGGCTGCAGGAGTCGGCCTGCCCGCATTCACTTCTGGGCTTGTGGCCCTTTCCTGCCCAGAAATCTACCCATGTTATCTGTCTTCTTTTCACAGGCCTGCCCCTGGCCTTCTGACAAGTCTCAGCCTGCAGTGTCTAAAAAAGAGCGCAGTAAACCATTCAGAAACAGGATTTATTGATGGGAGGCCTCTAATTACTGCCAGACGCAACAATCTGAAGAGTTTATGGCCAAAGTGTTGGTGCCATTCATTAAAACCAAGTGGGCTCTTGGCATGGATGCTGTCACCCTGTGACCAGACCCATCTGTGCCTGTGCATGCCCCTCCCCCTGGTCTGCAAGGGGAGCCTGGCTGAAGAGGCAGTGGTGATAAATCACCAAGCCGTGCATCTGGCACTGGAGCTGGGCCTTGCTGGGAGCCCTTGGAGTTGCAGGTCCTGGTTCCAGAGCAGGGCCCCTGGGGGCATCATGACCTGTCTGTTTTTGTCCCTGGGATCTCTGATTCCACAGAAATGTGGTAGACCCTTTAGCGACAGTGACTTCCCGCACTGTGACTTCCCCAAGGTCTCCCTCTTTTCCCTTTTGCATCAAACTGGCTCCCAACAGAAGATAATGCAGACAGCAGAGGTTAGGATAGCCTCTTGGCAATCGAGAGGCTTGGTGAGTCTCCTAAAGTCACATGGGCAAAGGAACCAGGGCGTGCTGCCTTCACACGAAGCTATCCTCTCCTCTCTGCGAGCAGCTGGCTGTCCCAGCTTGGCGATGAGTGTGCTGGTCCGCTCTGAGCACAGACAGACTTGGCTGTGAGAGGCCGTGGCTGCTGCAGGGCTCGAGTTTAAATCCAGGATTTTTCTTGAGCTGTCCTCTGAATTTGAGAGATGCTCAGAGCCTCACCTATCTCCAGATGTGCAGCGGGGAGAGGGAAATGCGTTCCCTCCTTCCCAGGGTGCTGTCAGGGCTGACTGGCATTGCAGCGTCTGGCACTGGTCTCCCTTGTTCCCCTGACTGGGGACACTCTCTGCACCTCCCAGAAAGCCCCACATGACTCGGACAGGGCTGTGGATGCTCAGATGAGATAATGGAGGGAATAAGCTTTGGAAAATCCTTGCGCTCTATTCAAATGTGAGGTAATTATAGGAAAATAGACCTGCCACTGCCCTGCCAAGAGCCAGTAACTTTGAGACAAAAAGCAGACCCGAGAGGTCTAAGATCTTCACCATTGTGATTAATTGTGATCAGAGGAACTTTTATGTCTTTTCAAACATCTATCGCAAATGGTTGTTTTGTGGACTCCAGAGAATGAGCATCAAGTATGGGGACACATGGTAAGGCAGTGGGTAGCTGGCAGGGATTTGCATTCTAAGATGTGGCTCTGTCCAACCATTAGCTCTGCCCAAGAGCCTGGTATCTCATTTTTCTTAGCCTTCCCTTGTCCCTTGGCGTACAGTAGGTGCTCGGCAGTTCTTTAAACTAAACTAAATTGGCTCCTGTCATCTTCCATGGGTTGTTTGAAATCAGAGCCTGTGTTTTACTTATTTCTCTCTTTCCAGAGCCAAGCCTCATGTCTGGCACAGAGTAGGTGCTTAGTAAAGTCAGGTTGGATTGAAATTAAACCCTGTAGAAGAGAAGGCAGACTTACCTAATGTCTGCACTGCACCACAGTACGGGGAGCTCCAGGTGGGGAAGGAGGCTGGGGTTTTCTGCCTCAGTAGGGACTGGCCAAGCAACAGGCTTGCTTTAAAGGCACATGCGGGGGAGTGGAGGGGATGTGACCAACAGATGCCTTTCTGCTGGTGGCAGTCTCTGCCAGGGCTCCAGAGACAGGAACTAACCAGGCGGGGAGAGGAAGCAACCCGAAGGAGACAAGATGCATTTAAAATCTCCTTTCCTCTCTGCAACCATAGGAACAGATGTGGCAGCAGTGTGAGTGTTGGAAGGAAACACCTTGCAGTGAAGTAGATCTGTGTGCAGAGCCTCCCAGTGCAAGTTGAGGTCATGGGAGCTTGAATGTGATACTTTATTTCTCTGAGTCTCCATTTCTTCATCTAAAGATTTGCCCCATTCCTTCTTATTGTCCATAGTTGTTATGGGCATCAGAAGTGTGTTTTGCAAGCAATAAAGCTGCCATTGATTAAGCACCTGCTCTGTACTAGGCACTGAGCCTAGTAGTGGTAGGGATTTAATTTGCAGTCCCCTCACCATCCTGCAAGGTGGTCATTATCATCTCCTGCCTCCATTTAAATGGAAGAAACCAAAATTCAGAGGCTTGGAGCAATGTGCTCAAGTGGCAGCTCTAGAATTCTAATCGCGGTCTTCCGGCAAAGACCGCACCATGGACACACGAAGGACAGCTACATTTCACGAAGCTGAGACAAGCCTAGAGCTCTCCCAGGGTAGCAGTTTTCCTTCATTGTCAGCACTTTTCCTTCTCCCACTTGGCTAACCTGTCTGTCTAAGGGAGAAGGGCGAGAGCCACTAAGAGATCTACAGATGATCCGATTCTCTGTTCAGGTGCTCTTTGAATTTAATGGGCCATGAATCAGGAAATTATTTCTAGGTGTTTATAAGAGGGAAAAGGAAAGGCTGCTGAGAGTTAAATATTTGCATGACTGGACATCTGAAATATCAAAAAGTATTCTTCCAAAAGAAAACGATCAACTTCTGTGACTTTTTTAGTGTCTTTCTTTAAAGCTGTAGCCGTGCATGAGATAAATGTGAAAGCATGGGAACTTTTGCTGATATCTACCCCATGCACACACATTTTTAATGTATTGTCCCCTCATCCTCACTGCGACCCTGTAAGGTCCTGTTAGCCTATTTTTCATATGCTGAAGATGTAAACGTTTGTTTGGGATCACACAATAATAAGGCATCAAAGCCAAGATTCA